TATATATATAAAGTAGTAATCTCTGTTTGTATGTTTGTAATATGTCCGAACACTTGACCGATTTGTCTAAAATTTTAATCAGGTACTCTTTCGAACCACAAGCGTAGTTAACTTTTTGTATTAAACACAAAATTGAAAATGATCAGTTTAAAACAAATTTTACATTGATATCTAATTTATATTTGATCAGACAAAGCTTTTGTGAAATGGGTATTGCTATCTTTGCATGGAGGGTCACTTTATATTGTGCTCAAAGATTACAACAAAACAAACTGAAGTTTTTGTTTAAACTATGTTGTATAGCTGAGGCTCGGTACTTTAAAGCCAATATGGGAGGCTCATGGCGGCCAAGGTGTCCCTCCCTCGTTGTGGTGGGTGGAGGGGGGTAGGGGTTCTCTAAGTAAGAAGGAAAATAGAGGATTACAAGATTAAGTACTAAGCGACACCTCCACTAATATATCTAGTCAGCTAGTATATAGAGCAACAAATATAATCTTTTCTCTGAGAGTAAAAATAGAAATGTTTCATCATTGACAGTTAAGATATATATTACTACAATTAGCATATATTCACAATATGTTAGTTGAAGAAAGGATATATATTGTAAGTAGCTTGGAAACCCAGCTTTGACTGGAGATTAAACTTTTCTTATAGAAGTCAACCCACTCAACTTTTTTAAACCACATTCCCGTGTTCCCCAATAAAAATGTAAGGTAAATCAGTCAGAAGGTACTAGAGTTCAGATCGGACATACCAAGGTTGTAATGCAAGGAAAGTTAATCGCAGTTGCGCATACTCTGCGTACATATTGAAACCAGTTCTCTCTGGGCGGAGTTTGTAAACAAGAATAGATGCATCAGTGTTCGTTTAGTATCCAAGGAGGTTAAAAGCATTAAATTTTGATAATTTAGATAATTCACATAATAGTTTCCTTTGACCAGAATATTTCATTGATTTTTTATGTTAAAGATGGATCCCATGTCAGGCTTCGACATCCGTTTTGTGTTTACATTACCGCCCAGAGACAGTACACTGCAGTACAAAAGATGCCTACACCTCTGAAATAACTTTTCTTGCATTATAACCTTGGGACATACAAACAGAGATTACTAATTTATTTATATTGTAATGCTAGATATTAATATAATCGAGGTAGATTGTGTGATCCATTCATTAAGAAGCTTTTTCATATCCCTTACATCTAATTTGACAATTTGGCAAAGCCCAATATAAAGTATATATCTGAATATTGTTAAGAATACAATATAGTTTAGTTTACAGTTCAGCAGATAGTTCTATGTATTGTCTAAAATGAAGTTTAGCAGATAGATCTATTTATTGTCAAGAATACAGTTTATCAGATGAATCTATATGTTGTCTAGAATACAGTTAAGCAGATATAGTCAATGTCTAGAATACAATTTAGCAGATAGATCTATTTATAGTCAATATTAGATCTATCTATTTATTGTCTAGATTGCAGTTTAGCAGATAGATAGATATATTGTCTAGAATAAAGTTTAGCAGATAGAACCATATATTGTCCAGATTAAAATTTAGCAGATAGAACTATGTAGTTTCCAAATTACAGTTTAGCAGATAGAACTATATATTGTCCAAATTACAGTTTAGCAGATAGAACTATGTAGTGTCCAAATTACAGTTTAGCAGATAGAACTATATATTGTCCAGATTACAGTTTAGCAGATAGATCTACATTTTGTCTGATGTTGATCTTATTTCACACTTGTTATTTACCTCCCGTCTAGTGTTGATATTTTTTCTATCCTTTTATTCTTTGTTAGAACTCTTGAATCATGTCGACTGTGAAATATGAGAAGTAAGTTTTTTGCAATTACTTTCTTTAATTCTCTATTTTATATATTTTATTTCAGTAAAACTGTAGTTTCACTATTCTTGACTAAATTTAATTAAAATTTTAAATTATAATTATTTAGGAATTTTTTTTCTTTTAATAGAAAGGAATAAAACGGTGGGACTAACTTAGACTGGGCAACAAAGCTTGTAAATATATATATTTGCCNTGTTTGTATATGTCTATTTGTATATGCCTGTTTGTATATGCCTGTTTGTATATGTCTGTTTGTATAAGTCTGTCTGTATATGTCTGTCTGTATATGTCTGTTTGTATATGCCTGTTTGTATATGTTTGTTTGCATATGACTGTTTGTATATGTATGTTTGTATATGTCTGTTTGTATAAGTCTGTCTGTATATGTCTGTTTGTATAAGTCTGTCTGTATATGTCTGTCTGTATATGTATGTTTGTATATGTCTGTTTGTATATGTATGTCTGTATATGTCTGTTTGGATGTATGATCATAGTTCAAGAACCCTTTGACAGATTGACCTCGAAGATTAAACGAGGAACTCGATAGAATTCCAAGTTGAATATTTAGCCAAGTTTAGTTTTTAGGCAAAGCTGGGTTCCCAAACTATTTATTTATGAAATAATTTAACTATTTAAATGTTATAGGATGAATCGAGACAGCAAAAGTGCCAACAGTGACTATGGAAGTTTCTGTGCCACACCCCCTGTAGGAGAAGGGGGTGGGGCAAGTGTCCCCCTGGCCGCTGGTAAACCTGGCCTGCCCTACCATGCCCTACCACAGAATGGGCCTGAGCTGGCTGACAACTCTATTATATCTGGGGTGAGACATATATTAGAAATATTAATATTAAAATTCGTCGTAAAAACAATATTTTTTTAATTTTTTTACATTTATCTACTATTAATTTTAATTTAAACTGGCTCTTACAAGTTTTTAAACTGTTCTTTAACTTTTTAAACTTTTTTAATCCATATTTCCTGAATATTGTAGTTTGATACTCTTTATGTTCTTTTATTTTTAACTTTTTCAATTTTCAACCATTTTTTTAACTGTTAAAACTGGTTCACAACCTATTATTCTAATACTTAATAACTAATTGATTTAGGTTGTCCTATGTATATATCATATATCACAACCCAATTTTTCAAGACCAGCTCCAAAAATTAGACAGCTAATTTTAACGGTTAGGGATGCGAGGGAGGTTTTAAACAAAAAGGTCGGAAAAATGTAAGAATGTAATTTTCTTTTTCTTTTTGACAAATAGTAAATAAAAAGATTTGACACATGGTTTTTTCTCAAAATTTTCACAGGATTTTCTAAAATGTAAGTTTTAGGTTGAGCTTAAAAAACAACAATTTCTGAGCATTTATAGATATTTTTTAAACACCGACAAGTCTTTCGACCGCCAAGTATTTTAAGGGTTAACCGCAGGGGGCGGAAAAATAAAAATAATAAAAAAAAAATAATAAAAAAATAAAAAATTACTCTCGTACTGCCTTTTTTCTTGCAAGGTTTTGAAATATTGACTGTATTTTACAACTTTCATGTTTATTGATCTTATATACAAACATCTGTATCCCCCCCCCCCCACACACACACATTGTTTATGCTTGAGAGAGGTGCTTTATATTTTCGGGAATGACATCTTAATGAATATATTGTATATTGTATTATGATGACGTGTACGTACAAAGTACATGACTTGTACATGTATGTGATGATGTGTACATGTATAAAGACTAGGTACATGATAATGTGTACATGTATAAAGACCAGGTACATGATGATTTGTACATAAATAAAGATCAGGTACATAATGACGTGTACATGTACTAAGACCGTTTACATGATTATGTGTACATGTATAAAGACCAGGTACATGATGTGTGCATGAATAAAGATTACGTACATGATGATGTGTACATGTATAACGACCGTGTGAATGATGATGCGTACGTACATGTATTAAGATCATGTACTTAATGACGTATAATTGTTTAAAGACCAGGTACTTGATGACGTTCGAGTATGATGTACATGATGACGTATGTATCCAGGATGAAAGGATTATTTTCTCATTAAGCTTGAGGTTTATTGTCTAATCTCTCTACAGAGCAGAGAGTGGTGTTAGAGGTCTAACACAGCAGTACAGTAAATGTACTTTTTTTTGTATTTTATCAACTTCAACTATTTTCAAAAAAATGTAATCTTTGTTTTTGAGTGGACAGTATTGTGACGTAGGGTGATAAGAAGAGTTGTCATGAAATCTGAATTCCTTGTATAACTTCAACTTGTATAACTTCTAAATGTCGAGCTAAATATAACTCCTTCTAACCCCGTTACACGCCTTCCGAGCTTAGACCTTTCTTTATCTTCGATTTTTCAGAAACTTTTAAATATAGTTTTCCATTTCACACTTTTTTTCGACAGCTAAGAACTCGTAAATTAAAAGATATCAGGGTTGAGAAATCTAAACTTTTTATATATATATTAAGGGTCCTTTCGGTAAACTTTGATTACCGTTTTCGAGAAATCGGGGAAAGTTTCTTTTAAAACTTATCTCTTTAAACCACTATGTGAGCAAAAATGACGGAATATTCCCTCTTTTCTATCTTAAAATTGATTAATTTTAATTGTGGTTCTCTTTAAAATTTACGTAGCAGGAGAGAAACTAGCAAATTCAGGCTTCAACAATTTCAAGATATTTAGAAATCTCACTTATATTGTTTCTCATTTAAAGTTGTAAAGTGTACTGTCCCTTTTTCAGGTAAAAAGTACTTGGTCACTCACAGGGGATGAGACTTCAGAGACGACTGTATTGAATAAATACTGTCTTCTTCTTTATATTCACGATTCCCTGCAGCTTTAAACTGGTTTTTTTTTAAATCGATAAATAAGCAATTAAAAGATTATATGTAAGACAGACGTCTTATTATATGGTTTACAGGTCGACTTTACAGTCTCATCCGTTGAGGGGGAAACCCTGTACAAGTTTTGCTTGAAATAAATTTCATCCTTTTGTATTTCAGGATTATTTCTTGCCTCTGGGTTTGTTGCGACCACAACATCCCTGGCTGTGACCCACGAGAGTGTTCCTGAGACTGATCCTCTACCCGACATTATCCTGGACAACGTCTCCTACCAGCAGTGGGGGCTCGACGTGTCCGAGATACTCATCATGGTTTCCACATTTTCAGCATTCTTAGTCGTCATGCTTCATTTTCATAGGTAAGCACTCAGCACTCCACATTCGGAGATAATTATTAAACAGTATATATCTTTGGTTTATCTGTCTGTTTGTCTGCATACTAAACGTCAAAATGGTTCAACCGATCGGACCCAAATTTTTGTTGGGACTTGTGTTTCCAGGAGTTTTGCTGAAAATTAAACAGAAAATTTGCAGATTATTTAAAAACTGAATTTTTTGTTCTTGCTCAATATTTGTTTTTCTAATTATCCTAGTTATTGTTTTAAATCAACTTATTTTTTAAAAAACTGACAAAATCTTCCAAAAATGTTGTTTATTCTTCTAATTCTCTAGGTTTCATCCTTTTTAGTAATCAGTTTTATAATCTTATTTTTCTCTTTAGAAATCTTTTAATATATATATATATGTAACAAAGAAAATAAAAAAGATGTACCTTGACAAGTGTTTTTTTGTTAAATCTGTGTCATACAACTTTAGTTTACGTCATTTAAGTGTTAAATTTCTTTCTTGGAGCTTAACATTTATCATGCTTGACATAGCCGGGTCCAGAAAAGTACGTCAAAGACTAGAATTAATTAACAGCAAGGAGTAATTGAACCGGCCACGTAAACTAAGATAAACCACTTCTCTTGTGCGTCTGTTAAAAGAATAGTCAACAATGTTTTCTTTTCATTGAATTTTACATTAAGAATTATTGTTTTTAACTGGATGGTGCGTCAGTAACATGACAGATTATTGGCAGAAGACCGAAGGAGTTACGCGCGCATGCTGCGTTGAAATAGAAGACTGAGAGAGCGTCTGTTCTAGCCGCGGCGCTTGGCCCCCTAGCCTTTAGCGCTCTGTCCAGAAAGAGCGCCCATGGGTATCCTGGGGGTGACATAGGCTAGAGAAATTTTTAGAAAGTTTTGAAATCCCACGGGAAGCACAGGGCATTTCAGCTAAAATCATAATTCAATGCAAAGCGCGGGTAAATAGCGGGAGTAACTTCGAATATGAACAATAATGTAAACTTAGGCAACGCCGGGGACTCGAGCTAGTTATTATTATTATTAATATTTTTTGTGTTTAGATTGATTATTCTACGTCGAGTCTGGTTCTTACTGGGATGTTTATACTACTACAGGTTATACTTTGTACTTTTATAGAAACTGATAACTCGCCTCAAATTAAGATTTCTGATCTGTTTATCTTCATGTCGTAAAACTTCAGTATTTTAAACTATGCACTTTACTAGAGGGTGTCCCATATCAGATTGGATCGTAAAAAGCTCAAAATTGCGAATTCCGGCAGTAATCAACAATTTAAAAAGACATGAATCATTTAACAAATTTGTGAAAAGGAATTGTGAACATTTGTATTCAGAAAATAAAAGATTCTATAAGAATTATGTGCGTATTTCGACGTTAAAGTTTAAAGATAATCCACTTTGATAATCAAATAGTTGAAATATCCAAGGTTAGCACCTAGTTACAGATTGCAAAGATATATAGATAAGAAACTTAAGATTGAGATAAGTAATCAATTTCTTTATCGAAAAAATTTCTAAAGTTTTATCCCCTTCCAAATTAAACTTTTAAATTGTTTTTTAAAGATGTAAAATATCAGATGTTAATGCCAGGGTTGATACAGGACGTGTCCCACGAAACATGACATGACGGTTAATAGTTTTGAATGTATTCTGAACCATATACTACATAAGATATTAAACACTGTTTGGAGATTTTTTTTCGTTAAAAAATCTTTTACTCAAATCTGTTGGAATTTATAATATAATATTTTTCAATATGCTCTTTGGTATCAGACAGCTTAACAACTTATTGAAGCAGACATTTTAAACTGTTCATAAACTGTCATATTTTGTGGGACACCCTGTAGTTAAATGTTTCTCTTTACTTACTACCGAACAAACAAATGGGGTAAATCCTCTTACAACGACAGGGGCGGATACAGGATTTAAGTGAGGGAGGGGCAAGATTTTTTAGGAACAAAAATTTCACAATTCGGAACAAATCACGCCGCTGGGCAAAATTTTTTTTGACTTAAAAGCCTCAAAAAGAGTCAAAATTAATGACTAAATACTAAAAAACTAGATTTTTAACTTTTCACACATTATATTTTATTAAGACAGATATTTTTCCTGTTTGCACTAGGGTTTCTTTCCCTTAAGCATGCTATTGAGAAGCTATTCTGAAATAGGAACTAAAAATTCCAAATTCAGGGGGGCGAATGTCCCCCTGCCCCCCCCCTATATCCGCCCCTGTACAACGACTTTACATACAAACCACATTTTACATCAGACATCTTGATTCCTTCAGACAATATTTATATTTTTCAGAGCTTTAAATATTTTTATTAGAATTAGTTAAGACAAATATTAACCACGTTTTCTATCTGAACTTTACTAAAGTTTATTTAACCTAATTAGATTTGTACAGCTTTGTTTTTAACATAATTTTAACTGACCTTTTATTTTTATAGAGTTTTATTTTATGTCGGTACAATATTAGTAGAAGAAACATTAAAATAATTGTATGAAAATTCAGTATTATCAAATGCGGTACTTTTCAAAGTGACTTTAGGTAACAGAGACTAGAAATTTTTTTTTTTCTAAATAGCACATTTAAATCTTCTTTACAGTGCACATGATTGCTGCGAACGCTTTGGTTTGGTGGTTACTGAAAACAACGAATCGATAGATTTATATTCTTTATTTCTTATTGATTGATTGATTGATTGATTGATTGGTTCATTGATTGATTGATTGATTGATTGATTCATTGATTCATTGATTCATTGATTCATTGATTGGTTGATTGATTCAGGGCTCTGACGATGTTTGTCACAGTTCTACCTAAGGCAGATCCCAGCTATACCTGTAAACCAAAACTAGATAATACTACAGCTCTCCCAGCTCTAGGTAAAATAGAACTAACCCCTCCCCATTGGGTTTTTTAAACTTTAACTTAAGCAGTATATTTTTTTGTGATTTTTCTCCCTCATAAAAGGTCATTTTTACCCTCAATTTTTTAAGGTTTTGTTCGCTGGATAGAGATAATTAAAATTAATTTATTCTGTTAACCCTATTTTTTTTATCATTTAAACATTTTTTATTTTATTTTATGAAAGTAATAATAATTTTGTAATTATTTTTAGTGATATTTAAGCGGATTCTGACTCTAATGTCTGGAATGGGTTTATCAATAAACGGGAAACATATCTACTGTGGAGATTATATATTCTCAGGAAACTGATATTTTATTTACCAGCATTTTTTTTTTACAATAATCGGATCACAACTTAGTCTCAACTGGGATATCTTTTAGAATTTTTTAGAATGGAATCTTGGCATTTCTAAAGTTATGTAAAAAATCAGGAATTTTCACGTTAAACATTTTAAGGATCCTTTTTCAATTCTTTTGGGAGGGGAGGGGGGCAGACATTTTAACCCCCCCCCCCTTCCCCCTTTTAGTTGCGCCTCTGAATCTGAAGCTCTCTCTAAATTCTTCGAAATTTGATTATTTTCTAAATCGTAAACTGGAGTTAATGTCCTGATATTGCTGACCAGTATATTTGATATAATCTTAAAACATGCTGATACAGTGATACAGGCCTACTCACTTCCTTCATGCAATGTGTACGATATATACAGGGAAGTCCTCAATGAATGAGATTTTAAGGAAATAAAATCACTTGATTAATTTTTTTTCTGTCATAAGCTATTAATCTTTTTAAGTTGAAAAGATTAATATCTTCTTTTGTTTAGGAAGTTTATTAAAAAAATGAAAAGTTTAAAGGAACAATATAATTATATATAGAAGTTATCGAACAAATTTTATAATGTAATTTTTTAAGTCTCATACTTGGTGGGAAACCCTGTACTATTGTATCAAGTTTACAAAAAACAAAATGTTCAACCAAGGCCGGAATTTCCTTTTACTTTCACTTACTTTTATCCCTTTATCTGCAGAGACAATGTTAAATTACTTTATTATACAGTGGGGCTCGCAAAACTGTGGAAAAGGAGGACGACTTTAACATTCAAATCATGATTTAAAATAGCCCGATTAATATAAAAACCCTTCACAGGCCCATATCATTTAGCAAGATTTCCAAGCTTCTTGTTAAACTTTCCACAGATTTATGGGTCCTACTGTATCATTCATTTATTCATTATTTTTAAAATATCCTTTATATTTTATTGTTTTAAAATTATTTTTATTTTGTTTATTTTAATATTGGTTTAACTAGGACACACAATGGTTCTAACTATGGGCTATCTGGTGATCAGAGAATGTAAGTATTATTTTGTTAAATTGCTCAGTGGTGTAAATTTTCGTTAGAAAATTATCCCCCCCCTCATCTCCTTCAANAATTTTTAAGATTACATTTTTATTATAATTTTGTATATATGTATTTTTTTCAAAAGTATTTATTTACAACTGCTTTCTACGCACAGTTTTCCTTATTCCTGAGCTGTGATGGGATTAATTAATGAAATATGTTTAGTTAATTTATGAAATATGTTTAGTTAATTAATGAAATATGTTTAGTTAATTGTAATTAATTAGTGGGATTTTTATTCTAAATATTCTCCCTTTCTTTTCGGGAAATTTCATTCATCATTATTCTTCACGTTTTTTTGTATTTGTCTTTATACATAGCAACTTGACAAGTTCCTGAATACGCCCCTGCTACTGAACAAGCAGAAGCTGTTAATTGACACATTCTCTTCGGATTGATATACACGACGACGATGAGGACGACGACCAACGACCGACGACGACTGTATAAATTCACAAGCTGAGTTTTTTAATTTTACTTGTTTTGTCCAGGCTGCAGATGCTGTTTATGATGCCAAGTACAAACAGCTGCCAACTGTACCGGGGTGCAGGAAGAGTGGCGTACAGGATATTATGCAGTACGATATAAACACGTGACTAAACATAGCTCAACCTACTCAGTAATAGATTCATTCCTTCAGAAATCTCCGGACTTGTAGATATAGAGAAGAAACCAAAGACATTAATTTTCCGATCGTATTAGACTGTCCTTACTCAAAGTCTTTGGACAAGAAATAAGAAGCATAATGAAAGATACTCGAAAGTTTAAGCTAAAAAACGGAAATCGTAAGAAATTATGTAATTTCCAGGAGAATCAAGGCCTTGGACAGATATTATGAGAAATAGTGAACTTGGACCGATACCGGAAGATTTTGTGATCTTGGACAGATATCAAGATAGACTTCCACAGATCAGGAGAATTCATGATCTTGGACATATATCAAGATGTTTCACAGATCAGGAGAATTCATGATCTTGGACATATATCAAGATAGACTTCCACAGATAAGGAGAATTCATGATCTTGGACATATATCAAAATGATCTTCCACAAATAACAAAAGAAATCATGATCTTAGACAAATATCAAAATAGACTTCCACAGATATCAGGAGAATTCATGATCTTAGACAGATATCAAGATAGACTTCCACAGATATCAGGAAAATTCATGATCTTGTACAGATATCAAGATGATCTTCTTCAAATATCAGAAGAATTCATGATTTTGGACAAATATCTGGAGAAATCTTGATCTTGGTCAGATCTCAAGAGAAAGCATGATATTGGACAGGTATTGTGAGAAATAAGGTCTTGAATCTTGAGAAAAGTCATGATCTTGGGTATCAGAAGAATGATTAATATCAAGAAAAATCCGGATCCTGATAAAGGCCTGAGAAGAGCTCAAGATTCTATTTAAATATCAGATCCTTTTCTTGACCATATCATGCAATATCATGATCATGAATAATTACATGATAAATCATGATTATGCCCATTACAAAAATTAATCTCATATCATAGAAAAGTCATAAATGATTCAGATTCAATACACAAGCCATTTTAGTCCAAGTTGAGAGCTGCCTATTCCAAGGATTTAATGCAAGGAAAGTTATTTCAGAAGTGTACGCATGTTTTGTACTGCAGTGTACTGTCACTGGGCGGTAATGTAAACACAAGACGGATGTCGAAGCCTGAAATGGGATCCATCTTTCACATAAATAATCAATGAAATATTCTGGTCATAGAAAACTATTATGTGAATTATCAAAATTATCAAAATTCAATGCTTTTAACCTCCTCAGACACTAAACGAACACCGAGACATCTATTCTTGTTTACAAATTCCGCCCAGAGAGAACTGGTTTCAATATGTATGCAGAGTATACGCAACTGCAATTAACTTTCCTTACATTACATTCTTTTCTATTCCTAAGTATTGTAACATGTCTTGAAGAAATTAGACTTGATTAAAGAATATCATGGTTTACTACAATGTCACTTTATCCTTTAAAAGCAATTTAATGTTCATTGAAGGATCAGTACAGTGTACTATGTACACTGTACATGTTCAGCTATACGGTCAATGATCATTTATGACATTATTAATAATGATTTTGTCACAATGGTTTGAGTTTGTTCAAAAAATATCTTGGAGTTAAGATGTTAAGAATGGGTTGCACAACCAATACGATTTCATTAATGTCAGGCTTGTTAAATTCTCGACATACGTTTTTGTACCTTTGTTAATTGAATATTTGTCGTGATATTCGTAAAACATTCTCCTGGCAAGAAAAAGGAGATTTTGTCTCGGGTGTTACAGTCTCTAGTCAATTATTTTATAATCCTGCTCAGTTGTCGGAATCTCTTCGTTGTTTATTTTAAATATGTTTTTAGCTTTCTAAATAATAAAATTACATAGTTATCAAATTTATACTTTCGGGGGCGCAGGGTAAATTTTTCTTACGTTTATTTATTCACTCTACGAGTGTTAAATCTTTAATCTGAGCAAGGGCCATCAACATAACTTTGATAATTGAGGGCCCCTGCTCTGGTTAAACTAGCCCCATGTTCAGTTGCTGGTGTTTATGTACTGTACATAAATTATCTATGTATTATCTAAGGAAATGTTTTGTACTCAGTTAAACCAAATAAATAGTATTTATGTTTAGATTCATGTATTATCTCTAAATCTTGAAAACCAATCGGAAAGGAATTGAGTCTTCACCACAAACTCTGATCTTCTCATCCCTATATCTATGCAATGTTAGATATTTCAAATTTTAAATTCTGATATAGATCAAATAATCCGATTTTAAAATGTCAAAGGCTGACACAATCAGTTTGCAAAGATATAGGGATTAGAAACTCTGATTTAGGGGCAAAGACTCAATTCCTTTCTCTGTGTTTCCTGATGCAAGGATTTAAATAATGTTTTACTCTTCCCGATAATTCCCAGCATTAAAGGACTTAAAGAGAAAATCGGAGATGGAGAAAATGATGAAAATGGGTAACAAATCCATATAATTATCTCTTCATTAATTAATTAATTATAAATATATATGTGCCAGGAGTCCGAATTTAATGAATTTGAGCAACGTCTCAAATCCCCCAAAACCCGGTTTCAATTGAGTGCCAGCTTATATCTTAAAACTTTGAATACGATTTCATGTGGAACCAACCATATTTGAGTCTCGGCTTAAATTTAAGCCGCCGCCTGCGGGTGACTGAAATCATAATTTAATACCAAGCGCAGGTAACCTGGAAGGGTAACTATGATTATGAATAATAATGGAAACCTGGACAACGTCGGGTACTCCAGGAATATGAAGAGAAAGTGGATGGCAAGCTAGGTGAATACTGAATGATAATAAAGAATGGAATGAGGTCGTAAGAAGGAGAAAGAACGAGAGTCCTTTTGGTGAGAAAATGGAATTAGAAAGAGAATAATATGTAAAAAAGATGACCAGATATGTCAGAAGTTTTTTTTCATTCTTTTAAACATGCATAGGCTTTCAAAATAAGAACTAAACTTTTAACATAATATTTAACTATCGTCTAAATAAAACTTCGAAGGAATTAGGAAAGAAATATGTTGTAAATTGTACAGCTGGGAATAAAAATGATTTCATTGACAGCTGATCTACCTTTTTTCTCGTGAGAACAGTATCCCTGTATTCTCATTTTAAATTCTAAAAATCTGAAAAAATTATGTTCATTAATTTTCCTACAACACATACAAAATGTCCATTCAAAGTAAAAAGTAAATTGTGCAGCGTGCACAGGCCAAAATCACTGAATAATTCTATTTCCGTGCAACTTATAAAATTATCTGCTCTATAACATGCGACTAAATGTCGTCTTCCAATTCCACAGTTTTATGGATCTCACTGCAATGATAAAAATTGTATTTTTACTGTTATCTAAAATTCAGTTGAAGATTATTTAGAATAGAAACATAGAAAGAAATGTCCTGGGTTACCTATGCAAAATGATGTCAATAATTGAGTCCCTGATTATCTAATATTCTATATCATCGCAACCAAATGTCCTGGGTTACCTATGCAAAATGATGTCAATAATTGAGTCCCTGATTATCTAATATTCTATATCATCGCAACCAAATGTCGTTTCGTAAATTCTAAAGTTTGATAAATCAAATGTTCACACCATCAGTTGTAAAAGATATAGGGATCAGAAAATTTGAGTTTGTGGCAAAGACTAAATTCCTTTGTCTTAGGATGGTACTAAGTAATGAATCGCAAAGGTGAGGAAGGAAGGTCGTCTTCTGGTTAAGTATGGCTCAGCCATAATAAATCTAAATCATATATGTATACATTAAACCGGAAATAATCTGTAGAGTAGTGCAGAGGATTCAGATTGGACAGATTTCGGAAAAACAATTGATTGATGGACGGGCCACGGTAAACAGATGTCCTAGTTATAAGTTATTTACGAGTCTAACCTTTAAATCTGAATAAAGGTAAATTTTTTGTATTTGCTATCTTATAATGTTTTGTTGGGCTCAGTGTTTCAAATATTTAAGTTTAAAGGCCTACCTCTTATTTTTTACGGACTTTGATTGCAAGAGATCAATATATTCAGATACAGAAAGTATATGCACTTCGTCGTAGTTAGCCTTACGTGTGACGGGTTACAAAGATACATTTACTGAAAATGACTAAATTCTATTCGATCACAAAATGGCAATTAAAGTTTTCGTGTAGATTTGATATTTAATGATAATTGACAAATCAATTTACAACATTGAAAAAAAACTTACCACAAATAATAAACAATGAACATAATAAAAATATTAAAATAATAAAATAGATCTTCGTTGCTTTATTCAAAAATAAGAGAATTTAACAACAAAAACATTTTGAAAAAATTGTTTTATACATATAAATATGCAATATTTACAAAAAATCAATTAAATTATTAAATTAAAATATCAAGTAAATACTTAATAGAAATTCAAGTATCTTAAACATTCTGTAGTTTTAAACTCAAAATTAGAGATACAAGTATGCATGTTAAATTAGAGATACAAGTATGCATGTTAAATTAGAGATACAAGTATGCATGTTAAATTAGAGATACAAGTATGCATGTTAAATTAAGTTGACAATTGAAAATATTAATTTATTTATCTTAATATAAGGAATAAAAGTTTACATAGTAAATGTATGTATTGATAATACCGAACACATCTACAAAGAAATTATGGAAATAGATGACAGATTTTACCGTCAATATAAGGATATATTATGAAGTTCATGGGCACTCTAGTCTCAAAAATATGTATATTTAGTTACTAGTTCTTTCGCAACTTTTTTCCAAAACTTTCTTTTCTTATCGCTCTACAGAAAAAGGTTTGAAAACTTGCAAAGTTGTAAAATTTTAAACCAAAATTAAATGAATTTTTGTGTACTATGTAGGGGATATATTTTGAGGTAGAGTCTATGGAATTTAGGCTAGAGCCGAGGACAGATATTCATATACGGATAGATGGATAAGTCCATGGGGAATAGATTGTAATATCAAGTATACAGAAAAATATAACTGAATCTAAATAAATTAAGGTTTTTATAGAGTTTCGGCTTCTCCATAGAAGGTTGGTTGTGCCTCCAAATAAAACATGTTATATTTTGTAGAGTTCATAAAGGATAGGTTATAGAAATTTTTTAGGATAGGTCATAGGTTCTATAGCCCATAGTGGAAAGATTGCTGAGTCCATAGAGGACAGAATGTACAGCTATAGAGAACATATTGTAGAGTTCATAGATGACATATTGAAGAGTTTATAGAGGCCGGATTGTGTTAAGTTCATAGAGGATGAAGTTTTGAGTTCAAAAAATACAGATTGTAGAGCTCATAGAGTACATATTGTCCATGAATATTTTGAGCTTAGTATCCTGATGATAAAGCTGACGAAGAAACGAAGATATTATAATCAGTTCGGAAAGATCTCATATCGATGGAGTACCTAAACAAATTATAATCAGAGTTCTTAAACGTTTTGGTTCGTTTTTATAAACTTTTAATAAAACTTTCAACATTTTAAAACTGTATTCTGTTTACTGTTGCTTTTATTAAACTTTGCAATATCTTTAAACCTAAAAAAGAAAACAATGAAAAAAATACAAAAAAACCAAAAAACGATCGATTTAATAGACTTGTTTTTTCCATTTGTTTTCTGCAATGTTAAGAATAGAAAATTTCGCACTATGATACATCTTGACTCTGCAAAAAAAAAACACCAAATACAAATGGGATTTTAAAATTAACTTATTTAAAAATCAAAATATAAGAAAGAATAGACAATTATTTATATAACTATGCTTTTAGGGCACTTCGCGCCAATCTTTTATTTCATTTGTGAACATTTTCCCTTTATACCCATTGTAAAACAAAACCAAAAAAGGTCGCGGATTTTATAAAAATAATTTGTGGATTTTCAAATTTATTGAAAATAGAATTTTGTTGGAGGCAAATTTTTTTAATTTAGATTTTTCATAAACCTTCCACGGGGTCATGTGAAGTCCCACACAGCCGTTTTGACGTTTATTGTAACAAACAGACAAGAAAAATATATATATATATACATTGACTTACTTGTTGTTTGCGTGACATTCATATATCCCAGCATCTCCCTAAACCATCATAAATGGGGTAAAAATATAAAACAGGCGAAACGTTACTAAAAAACATGGAATTATCGAAGTAATTTCAAGTAACTCCGATTGTGAAAAACTACAATAAAAAAAATATTTGTTTTTGTCTCTTTGAAATCCATTCTCAAAGGAGAGGAGTCTTTGCCACAAACTCTGATTTTCAAATCCATAATATTTACAATCCAATGTTAGATTCAGCTAAATAAGAAATTTCAAAGGTTTACACCATCAGGTTTCAAAGATATAGATAGGGATAAGGACGTCTGAGTTTGTAATGTATTTAGTAAAACTATAAGATGAGAAGTTGATCAAGAACATTTTCAAACAACTGAATTTAATCTCCGAAGTTTGCAGGAAATTAAAAGTTGACATTTCAATTTCTTTAAAACTAAAATTTCAACATTCATCAGAAAAATCTGATATCTTAATATTTGTTTTTAGAAAAAAAAGTTAAAACATTTGTTTGTCATTAATGTTCCTGAGTTGCGGGATCTATTTCCATCTTTGATTTTATTCTATGCTTCCCTCTCCAGTACTGACTAATCTAGAAACAATTAAACAATTAACAGAAAAATAATAATAACTAGCTGGAGTTCCCAGCGTTGCCCGTGGAATTTTTTAGAAAAATCGAATTTTTTAAGAAAAAAATTTATTTTTTTAAGCCTGTGTTTTCCCAAGAGTACCCTTGGGTTCCTCAAAAAATTCAAACCCATAAGTTCAACTAATGAGTGTAGAACTAAGAAGGGGAAGGGATTGTTTACATTTTACTGTAACGTAATAGGACAGCTCAGGAACTATGTTTAGTATAAAAATTAAACAGTTTTCCCGACCAGGACCGGAAATGCAATAAAGTTATAGTCATATTACTCTCAGAACATCGAAATGGTGGCTCCCGTCTACCTACCTACCTACCTACCTACATCTCTATCCACCTACCTTATGCCCCAGAACATATTCGTAATCAAAGTGTGATGCTTTGGTAATCTTCGCTCCCTAAACAGAAATCAGATTAAACAGATTTTAGATTTAAAAAGAATAAAAAATAAATTACAACTATTAATAAAGGTCTATTCAACTAAAACATGAAGTTAGCGTGGTTTGTTTACAAAGAAAAGAAAAGTTTGTCTGAGTGATCTCAAATTAATTTGAAAACTTTTTCATGAAGTTTGTAACATAATTAATCAAACCAATCAAAGTATTCAGATTGCATTTAGAATCCAATCAAGGGGTTCAAAGGATCCAATGCTTGGTTACACTTTACTTTAAAAAAAATATATTTTTTTACTTTTGTCTGGGATAATTTGGATGATTGAAAATAAACTGTTTTTCTGAAATTTTTATTTCTTTTAAATATTTTATTAAAGGTTAATATTAATTCAAGTTAGTATAGTACAGTTCCCACTTCAATCTCATTTCAAGCAGTGTTACTATTATGACTTTGCGCCCTTACGACGCCTCAAGTGGATTTAAAAGTTATGTCAATAGTTCAGAAAGCTTTAACTTACGATCACAATTTGACCCCTTATACATAATTTTTTAGCCATTTTCTTAAATATTTTTTTGTCGGTATTTACGTTTTGAATGAAAAATTATAAAATGAACAAATCCGTAAGTTTAAAATTTGTTAAATTAAAGACAAAAACACGTTTTATTTCAATAAAAAGAAACCGAATGCTTCTAACAGATCTGGTTTGTCCTGGGTGGCCTCAAGCTTTTATTTCACACACACGAGAGAGCAAAAAACCTATTTAGCTGCATCAAAGGGGGGTTGTAAATGGTTTAGATCAGAACTGAGTAAAAAAAATACCGAAAAAGTGGTAAAAGGAATTGATTCTTTGCCACAAACTCTGATTTTATGATCCCTATATTTTTGCAACCCTATGTCGTAGACCTTTAATATTTCAAACTATAAATTCTGTTAGATCATATAATCGAAGTTTGAAATATAAAAGGTTTACATCATCAGGTTGGAAAGATATAGGGATACGAAAAATTGAGTTTGTGACACAGACTCAATTCCTTTTCTTTAATTGTAAGCCATGACTACAAGCTTATTCGTATACGTACTATTTAACATGAAGCTTCTGCAAAAGTTAGAGAAGTCAAGAAAGGTGAAGAAGTATGAAATTTGAAATTTCCCGGTATCTAAAACAAACCTTCTTTCCTGCATACCATTCCATTGTACGGTTATCATTCCAATCCTCTGTGTACGGAGTCTTGACTTGACTGTACTCCGTGAACCTACCTTCTCAATCAACAAATCAAACAAGTTATTCGAGAAATAGTAACTTTTAATTTCGATTCATTAGAGTTGGGAATGGAATAATTAGCAATTTCAAGTATTTTACAATAAGTTTGCTTGAGTTGATTTCCCTGGTTCTCCTCCGACCCGGAGCTTATGTCCAATATGCCGTCCTGCTCCTGCTCCCATGCAAACCCCTTGATTATATATTTAAGATACAGGGTGTCCCACGAAACATGACAGTATGCAGGACGACTTGAATGTCGTCTTGATTTTTGATATAATTTGCTGCGTTTATTTGTCAATCTAATTTTAGAAGTAAATTTCTAGAGATAATAATCACAAAATTTCCCTTGTCCTGCCATTTCCAAAATGTGGTCTGCCTTTTTTGTGCTTTCAATATTGCCCGAGATATGAAGAATTTCGTTCAGATTTCGACAATTTTGCTTTTATTTAACAAAATTGAAATCTGAACCAAACTCTTTATATCTCCGGTAATATTGAAAGCACAAAAAACGCAGACCACTTTTTGGAAATGCCAGGGCTAGGAGAATTATGTGATAATTGTTTCAAGAATCATACATGTTAAAGTAGATAGAAGAATAAATGTCACAAATAAATTCAAATACCAAAGACGACTTTCAAGTCGTCTTCCTATTGTCATGTTTCGTGGGACACCCTGTACTAAGTTTCCAAAGATAATAAAAAATAATGAAAATGAACAGAAAATTTAAAAGAAAAATATGTTGAAAAGAACTGGTAAACCAATTTCAAGTATTTCCAAGCATTATCTTTTGAATGATTGATTACCAGCGTTACCCTTAAACACTTAATCTGATCAAAAATGCAAAGGATATCCATAATCTTCTTTGTGAAAAATGGATATCTTACTTGTTTCAAATGAGGTTTCTCTCTAGGAAGACTTGCGCGTTTCTATTTCAGTAACAATTGAGAAAATGGTCAGAATTAAAAACTATTTATGCTAGAAAAACGGTGATATCTTCGACATTATTTATCAAATATATGTTTAAAGGGTACCGTTGTGAATCGGACATTTCCCCTTTTTTAATGGACAGGCCTTTTTCGTGAGATTTTTCTAGCAAAATATATAAGCTGGAGATCTGTATTCAGATCCGAACTCTGAACCTGGACCAGGACCTACCTATCCAGTATCCAGTCAGAATCCCAATACAGAAACAGAACTTCCATTTATCCATCCTCTCTCCTAGAAACCTAAATTAGAAAACATTAACATGTTATCTATCCTCTCTCCTAGAAACCTAGATTAGAAAACATTAACATATTATCTATCCTGTATTCTAGAAACCGAGATAAGAACCCCTACACATAATATCTATCCTGTATTCTAGAAACCTAGATAAGAACCCCTACACATATTATCTATCCTGTATTCTAGAAACCTAGATAAGAACCCCTAAACATATTATCTATCCTGTATTCTAGAAACCTAGATAAGAACCCCTAAACATATTATCTATCCTGTATTCTAGAAACCTAGATAAGAACCCCTAAACATATTATCAATCCTGTATTCTAGAAACCTAGATAAGAACCCCTAAACATATTTTCAAGTCTGTATTCTAGAAACCTAGATAAGAACCCCTGAACATATTTTCAAGTCTGTATTCTAACCTAACTAAGAAAAGTGGATAATTAATCTTTAATCCTAAAAATGAATTTAGTTTTTACCACAAATTAAAATTTTCTAACCCCCACGTAACAGAGTTCATAGTAGAGATTAGAAAATATGAGTTTATAGCGAAGATTTTTTTATATAAGAAAACCTTTGAGTAAGAGCATTCTTATGTTTTCTCTCTTGTCACCCTCTCCAGAGTATACTTATCTATCCTTAAATTAAACCCTATTATCATATCATTAACCTTACGTAAAACAAGGTTTATCTCTCAACCCTGAGCGCAGACATAGAAAAGTGTATTAATGTAATCCAAGAAACTTATTATCAACCCTTCAACCATCATCCATACATGTTTTCCTTACAGTAGACCCAGAGCAATTATCCTATATTCGAAACTTCGGAACATTAAGAATAAACCAGAATACATTATTTTACCCAGGAAACTATATTAAAAGTGGATTAAACTTCTTCAACGAACATCAAAGCGATAAAAAAAAATATCTATAGAAGTGTAATTTTTTATTTTATGCAAGATTTTAGTATTTAACTTATATTTTTGTCCTTTGAATGCTTTTAGTCCCTGACAACCCCTACTTTTACAGACAGGAAAGTATTAATCAATGTCTTCTAAAAAAATATCCTTACCTGTTTCCGGTGTTGAATATTGAAAATGGTTTGATTAGTATCCTGGGTCGAGGGTGGAGAAGGACTGGAAACCAGGCAGTACTGTAGCACTGCCTCGGAGCTAATAATGAATTATCGGATAAGAACTTCTAGGGTTCAGCAGGAACCTTGAAGAATATTTTCTCCAAACTTACACAAGTTTATTTCTATTTTATAACATTCATTTAATCCTTAAACCTTAATACTGAATTGGGAACTTTTAAACGGACAGAGTTGATCAAACTAGTTCTTAATAAGTTAAACTCATTCTCTGCCCCAGAAGTTTACCTCTATCTCTTCTTTTAACTAGTCTCTAATTGATCGAAGTTTTGAGATGCTGCAGACGAGACTATATGTATTATGCATACCTTCAAACCCAGGAATGAAAAATGAACACAATTTAATTTGTTTGTCTGTCTGTCTGTCTGTCTATTTTTAATACTGCAGCGAACATTGATTAACATGCAATTATGAAGCTATTGTTTCCTTACTCACAAAAATACTTCTGTTTCAAATAACATGGTTCAGAGGTTTGTTGAAAGGGAGTGCTGACTTTTTAAGAGTTTTTGCTTAATTTCATATGGCTCCTAATTTTTAACCTAGAAACAATTTTTTGTCAGAATCATCAAATGTTATAAAAAAATATTATTTCTGATTAGAAAGTAATGTAGACACCCCGAATCACTTCAATTTTTTCTCAATAATTGTTCAGACTTACATTTAAATGATACCAAAATAATCTAATATATATTCTTTGCTTGACTGTCTGTCTGTTTGTATCCAATAAACGTCAAAACGGGCCCAAATTTTGCGAGGGACCTCACGTGACCCCAGGGAAGGTTTATAATGATCAAATTAAAAAAAATTGTGTTTAAAAGTTTTTATTTTTGTAAAATTTAGAAAATGCGCGAAAAAATATTATGAAATCCGAAAACTTTTTTTTTTACGTTCAAAGAGAAGATAAAGCCCCAACTGAAAGTTAAAAAGAAAGATGTGCGCAACCTAGTTTTTAAAATATTTTATCAAAATTTATATTTGCATAACCTTACATGCAAAAAATCAGAGAAATCTGTAGAAAGAAGTCAGAACCTAACACCCCCCCACCCTTAGTGTGGGAATGTGGTCCCCTTTGATATTTGCATAACCTTACACCCCAAAATAGTCATTAGTTACTTTTTACACCTGCATTAAACGGCATTGAAATAATTGGATCCACAACTTTTTGAATTCCTCGGTCTAGATGCGCAAAAATTTGCGGATCCATGGTGCAAATTATAAACCAAACCTGCCACTTACACTTTCTTATAGTACTTTACAGCTTTAAACCAGCAAATGACAAAAAACTAACGATTAAAAATGTGTTCTCAAATATTATGAAGCATCAAATCCTCGCAAATAATACGTATGAAAATATCTTATTTACAATTAGAGCATTGATGATGTTTACCAAATTATTAAAAAAAGAAAAATTTTGAGTTTAAACGGAACGGAATATTGTCAAAATCCTAAGGATCAATTGAGTGATTTAAAACTCGGATCATATTGACAATTGTAGGGTTATTTCTGATAAATCCACCATCTCTACGGTGTTGATACTGATCGTTGATTTATCTTTTCTTCTAGATTTTTCTCTTTAGTTTTCTCAGCTGTGCACTGTGCAGTTATTATTCAACATAAAGTTTAACATTTTATCCAAACATTGTTTAATCTACAAGTGTATTTTATAGTAAATTGATACAAAACTAGATCACTGGATATCTTAGAGATACAAAAATTAAATGTAAATATATACAAGATTTAACCGCTAGAGAATTATTGCGGTAGAATATGGAACTAAAAATTGTACAAAAATATATATTTACATTATCACAAGTCAGGCAGTGGAACAAGGCAGTAAATGTAATTATAAAAATTAAAATTATTTTGAAAAATTTCTATTTAATATTTTCCGACACCGCCATAATTGATCTGAATGAATGAATGAATGAATGAATAATAACCAAAAGCACGACTAGGGATCAAAATAAAACCAAATACTGATTATATATATATATAAAAATATTTATATTTTGATATAAAAATATATTTTAATTAGCCAAGAATTCTTGTTTTTATTCTTATCAAGGTTGAAAAGAATTTTCTTTTAATAAAAGTAAAAAGAGCTGCGAACTGCGAACTTTGTAGATCGCAAATGAAGGATGAATTGCGTAAAACGCAAAGGACAGGGAGAATTGCGTAGAACGCAAATGAAAGGTTGGTCTGAGCAAAGGATTTCAGGTCGGGGAGAAGTCTACTACAGTATAAAGTATACACTGAGCAATAGTTCTTTCATTCAAGAACAAGAAGTTCTCAATTTAAAAAATACAGGTGCGCAATGAAGCGTAAATATTGAAAAAGAAATCTACGCAAATCAATGTGTGTTTGACCAGATACGCGAACCGTTGATCAGGTTTGCTACAAGGTGAGCTGGGGGAATTAGTTTGATCACAAAAGAATGTTCGTGTAATGTCTCAGGGTTTAGTTTCCTGAGTTCGGAATAGATAATATGTTGACACTGTTTATTGAATAGTTGGCTGTATACCGTTGGGGAATAAAGACAGATTTCCCGACTGTTTGAACAGACATCTGAAATTAAAAAAATTATTAATAAAAATAATAATGTTGCCTTCCTTCTCTTGGCTTATTAAAGGTCTAACGAACGCCTGTTAACCCTTAGTAAATTCGGGGGAATCAAGTTAAATCCCCCTCCTTACCTCCTCATTTTTTAACATCACCTTGAGAATTTTTTTCTCTAAAAAAGGGTAGAAAGCCGGTCGGTTCGAAAAAACTTCAAAGGCACTGTAAACGTCATGTTAAATGACCCTTCCTTGAAAGAAGGCATTTCAAATTTAAAAGCTTTGTCTGCTAAAGAATCAATTAGATATTCATGTGTTAATAATTTTAAAACGGAATATATTCAATTGTGATTTCTGTCTAAGAGTGACAGTTCAATTCTGCTGTAGAAAACAATGAAGAAAATATCAGAGTTAAACAGTTTTAACCCTAGAAAAACGACGTTAACCTCCACGTTATTGATCAGAGCAAGGTTTCAAGGGTGCCAGTGAATCGACCATACCCCTCTTTTTAAATTGAAGGCCACTTAATAATTACATTTACAGTCACTTTGATGTCTCACAAGTTTCTTAATATTATGATACAAAGAGCATTTATTTCAATAATTACCTTAGGCATTCCAGGAGAGGATAGTTCCGACATATCTTCATAAATACCTCCGACAGCCTAGATAAGTAGTTAATCAAATAATATTACAATTAGAGGGAACGAATGTAATGTATAAATATATAAATATGTTCAAAGGGAAGTTCAACAATAAGGTCAGTAACAATAAGGTCAGGGGAGGTTTGGGAAGAAATAAAGAGGTTTAAATATGTGAATATGGTAGAATGGAGGTTTACATGAAAGAACAGGTAGACAAGAGGTGTACAAAGAAGAATTTAATAGAAGAGAGGTTTACATAAAAGAATATTGTAGAAGGGAGGTTTACATAAAAGAATATTGTAGAAGGGAGGTTTACATAAAAGAATATTGTAGAAGGGAGGTTACATGAAATCGTGAAGGGTAGTTTAATATAAAAATATGATAAAGGAAGGTTTAAATATAAAAATATGGTGGGTGGGAGGTTATAATATATTCTTTTTAAAAAGGTAGGGGTGAAGTTAAGATATAGCAAATAATGTTGGCGTAATATTTATATTGTAAACAAGGGAAAAGGTCAGATATGGAGGTTTAGATATAAAACTAAGAGAAAGAGGGAAGTAAAATTATTTAAAATAAATGTAGTGCAAGGTCTTATTCAAGCAAGAATAATTTTTACTCAATAGGGAAGCAGACATGTGGTCTTAAACTGAAAACAAACATGATTGAAGATTAAATATAAACACATTAGAAAAGAGAGAGGTTTAAAAATGTGAAATTACCTGTAGGTTTAATTCAGGAAGAGAAGTATCAGGAACTGAGGGAAAATTTTCCATATCCATGAAATCATTCTCAGCTGAAGAGTATCCTTGGCTTCCCTGCAAATGTAAGAAATTGTATATTGAGATAATTTTTTGCCAATTATAATGATTAGTTTTTCTGAACAGTTTTTAGTTCAGTTCTTCTTCTTGTATGCTAAAATTTTGCAGCAAAAGGGAATGACACTGTTAGGTAAGTAAGATACTAAAACTTTTAAACTATTTAACAAGTTTGAACTTAAATTTACAAAAGAAATAAAAAGGACAATCGCGAATGTTTCGACTGTTCATTTGGAAAATCACGCAACCTCTCTATTTCTCAGGAATCCGAGGTTGCGTTATTCCTTACTTCAAAATAAAATAAATTTAAACATGTAGAACCCCACAGTTTAAAGGGACTTTATACGTTGTTTGTAGAGTGGTGTTTCCGGTTCACAACTGATCACGGTTGACGGACTTATCCTTATATCTCGACAGAAAAGCTTTTTATTGTTGATAACTATGTTTGCAAACGGTTTTATATCTTTAAAAATATTAACTTTACTTTCCAGTAGTCCGCAGAAAATAAATGTTTCATTTGAATTTTTTTTCAACTCGCGTTGCACATTAAAAGATAACTGACGCCGTACTCTTAGCGTAAACTCCAAGTTTTACGCAATTTGAATACCATTTTAGAGATTATCACACGGGATTCTCTCACGTCGATGATCACTCAAATGTGTAGTGTTCCCATGTAAATCTAAAATTCCCCTCTTAAAATGTAGGGTCACTTGAGATTAGGCTTACAGTCCCTTTAAGTAATGTACAAGTTATACTCTGCGTTCTGCATCCATGGCAACTGGACTCAGGTTTATTCTTTCTAAGTTTTGTGTTAAAAAGATAAAGTTCAGATAAAGTTTAATCTTTAATACTTTCTTACTCGTTTTGATATTATTATTTTTTCAATCATACGATTACGAAGACACACGGCAAATCTTATAAACCTTTTCTTTAATATTTTCTTATTTGCTTTTGCTTTATGTTTAAATGCCTGAGAATAACTTTGAGAGAAGATAAATTATTTTTGCAAGAAAATACATACAATTGAGATATTTATGATCCAAGTGAAATTGTTCAATAAAACAAGTAAATTCGAATCACACCTCTCAACATTAAAAATATCGGAATGATTAAAATTTCAACAAAAGTTTCACAATTTTGAATTCTGTTTTTTTAAACCCTGGTCTTTATAAATATTTCTGTGTATTATAGATCAATATTGTTAAAAAAAAATTATTTCTACCTGAGATGAAACACTGGCTGGTGTCCTGGGATCCTCATCATCCTCGCTATCCAGGTTCGCGGAGTTACTGTTGTAATCCTTCACCATCTCTCCCCTCTCCAGCATCTCCAAGGTGTTCGGGTAGTACATCGCTTTCTTGATCGCCATCGGGTCCTTTTTAGACCATTTCTTCACCTCGTCGTCCATTTTATTTATCTTCTCGGGGTTCATGGCCCAAAGACAACCCTTTCTTTGATTGGCGCCATTGGTCGCGGGTTTTTCAATCTTTTCAAAACATTTGTTTAAAGAGAGATTGTGACGAACCGAGTTCTTCCAGCCGTTAGGAGCAGTTTTGAAGTAAGGAAAGTGTTCACTGAAACATATAAAAATATTAAAACCTGAGTTATGTTGACTCAATACTAAAATCTATGACGAATTGAAATTTGAATTTACTCTGCAATAAAACTAAACCAAATTTGATTAATAATTACAACTAATAAATGCCTAAGCTTAGTATTATTTATTTGATGAATGTCCTGAAAAATTTAGTCGTCAAATTTATATAAAGATTCTAGAAAAAATTGATATTCGAAAAAATGAAATGTTTAAGCTTTTTAAAATTGTCTTAAAAAGTTGTTCATAAAAAGTAAGATACTTAGGAAGAGTTTAACAGATCATTAATCTTTCGTCAACCCGTCACCCCCTCCCCCCTACAATGATAAAACCTCCAGCATATGTATTAAAATAATAAATCAGGGCTATATATTACTTGAAAATCAATTTTCACAACGTTAGGTTAGGGCCGGGCAGTAATACTTCAAGGGGTTCTATCGATGAACCATGGAGAATATATGAATCTCAGAAAATATATCAAAAAGAGGGGAAAAACTTACTAAAAAATTCATCCAAATCTTTTGGGATTTAAGAACAATGTACCCTGTCTTGATATATGTGATAATAATTTTCTGTAAAAAGAGAATTCAGTATTTCTTCAGTGATTTTAATATTAGAAAAAAAAATTAGAGTAAAAAATATTTTTTAATTCAGTAATGAAATACATATTGATTTGACTTATATGGAAAAAGAAGGATCAGTTCATGCAGTGTAGTGTCTGTTTAATGTATCTTTAAAAAAGTTCATTCATCAAAGGGAAGACGGTTAGCTGTCAGTTGGACTTTGGGAGGGTCATGGATTTTTAGGCACGGGACAAATAGCTCACAAATAATACCAAAAAGAATTCCTTTTTAAGGCCCTAAAGGGGTTCAGTGAGTGAGGGGATTAAAAGAAAATTTTTTTTTTTTTAAAGAATTGGAAAAATATTTTTTGTGAATTCCCGCCAAAAATCCGTTGATTTGTGAGCGCTTAGTTGACGGTTAGAAATTCTGTGGTTAAGGGGGGGAGGGGGGGAGGGCGGGAGGTATGTAGTAGGGGAGGGGGGCGGACATTTAAACGGCTCTCCTAGAATGACGGTTAGAACCTAGTAACTGGTAGGGGTCGAACCCGGGGGATTTAAAGGCAACTTCAGGATCCCTTTAAATACCATTTCACAGGTGCTGGTTTTGGATCAGCTGTAGGGTTCATTTTAACCGATCCTCTCGTTTCAGATGAACGATCGTAAAATACTGATTAATTTAATAAAGGGTTTAAATGTTCCGGAGTCATGATTAAATTTATTGGAATTATACAGATGATCCGAACCAAATGGCCTTGTTTAACGAATCCTGCATTACATGTATATAAATGTGTAGATCCATATATTCATTCTAATTCGAAAAGTCATCGTTTTTATTGAACCAGGGGGTTATGTCTACCCTGAGTCAAGGTGAGTAAAACCAAACTGAATTCAATCATCCATTAATATGTACGAAAAAGTACACGACCCCCCCCCACTCCCCCATTCCTCTTATTACACTCAAAGAATGACTCAAATCTTCTGAAGACTAGGGGTTTAGGGTTCCGATATTAAATGTTTAGTCTCAATGATAAGATATTAAAAAATTAAGTTTAATGTTTCATCGTAAGGAAGAAATTATTATCAAATTGAGAAATTAAATATCTTTCCAGAATAATCTACCAACTTACCACATGAATTTATAGATTTCTGAGACGGACATACTTCCAGTTGGACTGTTCTTCAACGCCAGTGCTATCAGACAACTGTAAGAATATGCTGGTTTAGGGAATCCAGAATCCTTCCCGTTTAAAGTTTGCTTTTTTCTGAGCATACTGGTGGGAGTAAGGCGGCCATGAGGGCTGGGGACTTGCTGCATAGGAGAACTAGCTGGAGGAAGAACTTTCAGGGGTTTCTGAACCCCTTGCTGTCCAGGATGATATTGATAATGGATCTGATGATTAGGATAGGTCTGAGGGGACATTGGAGAGGGAATGGGAGATTGTAAATTATGATGATTATATCCTGTATTGACTGTAAGGTGGTGTCCTGTAGGAGGAACAGGAGAAGGAGTGTGTGAAGGAGTGTTCTGGTAGTGTTGATGGAGCGGCATTACACTGTTAGGGTTTACCATCACATTACCACTCAGGCTGTCGTCGAAATATGACGAGTTTAACGCGGCAATATCCTGATTGTGTTGGATGGAGTTCCACTGGGGAGGATGGTTTAAAACCTCGTCTACCTCATGATACCGGGCATCAAATTTAAAAGGAGTATCTATGCTGTCCAGGTTGTTGAGAAGCTCCAGGGAGTCCATACTGGAAAACCCCATCTGGTTCGAGGTCATCACGTCATCAAACTCTGCTTTTATATCTGTATCGATCATCTCCTGAAATAAAAAAACATTTAAAATAAATAGTTGTCTTTAAGGAAATAAAAGGAAAATGATTTTAGAAGAAAGAAAAAAAAACATGGACCGTTTTAAGGGGAGGGCGTTCAGGCCCACGCCCCCTTGAAACATTCGGTTTTAATATAAGAATCCCCCCCCCCCTACAACAGCTACACGGATGGTTTTAACATTGTTCATTTTAGTTAAATCAGCAAAATAGGGAAAAAAAGTTTAAAACGGAGTGGGGGGGGGATTGAATATCTATTTGACAAGATTCTTCTTTTACCTGTAGGGAGAGACCGTTCATATGTGGATCACAGACTCCGTGTAGATGATTCATCTCAGGTTGTATTCCGTAGAGAAATGACATAGCACCTGAATACAAGGATTTAATATTGAATTAAAATCATTCTCAGGTCCCAGGATCAAACATTATCAAACGTGACCAGTCATATCATCAGCAAGGTTAGGTAGATTTGTTCTTTTTTATTCTAACCACAAACATATATTACTAATTTGATAAGTTATTTTTTTTAAACTGACAATCTTTCCAATGAGTTTAATAGTTGATGTGCCTGGTATGCAAGATATTATTGTCGCAAATAATTTCACGCGAAGGGTAAAAAATTGGCAAGAAAAGCATTAAGCTCCTAGCCGCAGTGCAGGGGGTTAACTTTTTTAATTGCTTATAACAGAGAAGCTGGCATAAAATATGGATATATGCTTAGTCATATCTGAACCTACGATAAATGTGGATCAAAAAGGAGCGATTATTGGACCCCACCCCTCCCCCTCCTATCAATTATGTACATGGATCTTAAATGTAAGACATGTGGCCGCAGCGCTCGGCCCCTTAGCCTGTCCTAGCCGCAGCGCTCGGACCAGAAAGTGTCTAAACCTAACACGTGGCCGCAGCGCTCGGCCCAGAAAGTGTCTTAACCTAATCTAACCCTAAATAAATACTAAATATAAATTATGTACAAAAAAGACCAAAATCGCTCTCTAGGACAGACCAAAAAGGTATTACTTTATGTTGATAATATAGTATGATCAAATGCTCAAAGACTTAACATTCATCTAGAAGTAAATACATCCCGATTTAGCAATCTAGTATGGTTGAATTACTTGAAACGTTTTATGGTTGGATGAAAGGATAGGTAATTTCCCAGTTCACGATTTTTGGACCCCCCCCCCCTCCTATAAATTTTTGTATATTATAATCTGTTATCAATTTTAAGGTACTTTTAAAACAGACACACATGGATAAAGCTGGTCTTGTGGCCGCAGCGCCCGGTCCCCAAGCCTGTCCCAGCCGCAGCACTCGGCCCCCTATCCTGTCCTAGCCGCAGCACTCGGCCCCCTATCCTGTCCTAGCCGCAGCACTCGGCCCCTATCCTGTCCTAGCCGCAGCACTCGGCCACCATCCTGTCCCAGCCGCTGCGCCGCAGCACTCGGCCCCAATTCTGTCCCAGCCGCTGCACTCGGCCCCCTATCCTGTCCTAGCCGCAGCGCTCGACCCAGAAAGTTTCTTAACCTAACCTAACCCTAAATATTTACTAGTTTTGTTGAAAATTGTTGAAATTGTAGGTATTTTTTTGTAGCAAATAGTTAATATCTAGGTCATGTACAAAATTGATAGGAGGGGGGGGGGATCGAATACAAGGACGGACACAAAGGATATTTATAGTCATTAAAGCTGAAAACATCAGATGAGACTTAAACATTCATCTGGGAGTAAATACATCCCGATTAAACAATCTAGTATGATTGAATTACTACTTGAAACGTATTTAGGTTGGAATAAATAGCCAGCCATGATAAGTTTATAATACTAGCCTTAGAGGGCGCTTCGCGCCCTGCTTCGCGCCCATCTTCTAAATTAATTGTGAACATGTTCTCTTTGTGTACATCGTAAAACAAAACAAAAATAATTCGCGGATTTTCACAAAAAATTTCGCGGATTTTCAAAATTTTCAAAAATTTAATGACGATCGAATTTTGATGGAGACAAATATTTAAAATTTCAATCATTCATAAACCTTGCCTGGGGTCCCTAGATGTCGCACAAAAAATTTGGGCCCGATCGGTTTAGCCGTTTTGACGTTTATTGGATACAAACAGACAGACAGACAAACAAACAGACAGACAGACAAGCCAAATTTATATATAGAAGGACCTAAACATAAAACCATTTTTAAAAATATATGCGAAGTCTTCTCAGGGTCCAAAAATCGGTGAAGGAAATTACCAGTCGTTCTCTAGGAAATTACTTGAAAGATAAATACTGATCTAATATTTGAAAGTTAAAGAATGTTCGGACAATCAAAATACTAAGTAATTTCAAAATTCTACAGCTAAGAAATATCCTTGCTTTCAGTAATCTTTAAACAAAAAAATAAAATTATTTACTAACCTATAGAGAACCCTCCTGAGTAAGGAAGGGTAAAGGGTTGGTTACAAGCTGCCAGGATTTCTTTTAACTTACTCCGGGATAAATGTTCTTTCGTATCACGCTACTTCTTTGTTTTACAGAGTTGATTTTAAATCTATTTTGTTAAATTTTTACACCATATTTTCTGAAAATATCTTAGATCAGAACTGCGGTTATTCGTGAATTTATCTCACTCCAATTCGTCCGACAGTTTCTCTTGTACTGTCTGTGAAATAGAACGTTCGTTATTTTCTTCCCTCAGTACTGGACAAAGGCAATAGAGAATTTGAATTTACTTGCTGTGATTGGTCCGGATTGATCACATGATATCTGACACTGTACGCTGATTGGCTGTGATGTCGGGACGGACGGCCATTTTTAAATCCCTTACGATTTTCCGTGCAGGGTCTACCCGGTCTTTTAAATCCCCCCGGCGCGGCCCGACACCACCGTACTAAATCTGGTACCCTGAGTATTTAAAAATTAAATCGATGAGCCCTGGAGGCGGGATGGGAATATAAATATTAAATATGCGTAGCAGTGCAGCGTAATAATAATTATCCGAAATGTTTTTTAGTGTTATTTAAATGTTTAACACAACGATTGCACATCTCATATCAGAGAAATTTTAAGTGCAAATTAGGAGCTATAATTATTAAGTTAGAAGGTTAGAATTTTTAATTCTTTAATAAAGAATTCAATATTAAATATTTTTTAATGATTGCGCAAAATTTTTTATAATGATTTGATGTTCTTATAATCATAATAAAAAATTAGCTTTTTATTATAATTATATATATTGTAATAAAAACCGACATACACTTTATGCATAATTGCGTTGAGTGATTCCAACTATTTTTAATGTAATTTTCACATTTGTTTTAAATCTTGCATTTTATTTTTGTCTACTAGCATCCCGACTTTTTGGCAAATTGTCTGTAATTCTTACAAAAAAATCTTATTTTATACAGTAATGGTTCTCATCTTTAAAAGAAAATTAAAAATTTAGGTTTTTCGTAAAAAATGCCATTAAACATCAGTGATATTTTTCATTAAAAAATTGGCTATATCTTAGTGGTTCTAATTTTAATTAAAAAGATCTATTTTATCCGAACATTTTTTTTTAAATGATTTCATTTTTGATTTAAAAATGGTTAGAATTTTGCAACCTGGTGGTGGTGTAAACTTTTGATATTTTAAAATTAGATTATTTTATCTATAAGAATTTATAGTTTTCATAATATTTAAGGTCTACGACTTCGGGTTGTAAATATTACAGGGATTAGAAAATCTGAGTTTATGCATAAACTCAATTCCTTAATCTAGTTATAATAATAGCTTCCAATGATTCAATTTAAAGCAGAGATAGATATAATCTGAGAGATAAATGTAATCAGAAACCAGAGAAATAATCTAAATAATAAACCAGAAATATAATCTGAAGCCAGAGAAAGATATAATCTAAATCCAGAGATTACATAAAAGAATATTGT